GAACACCCTCTTCTTCCATGCTTAGGCGTCCCAGCGCTACCCGTCCAACCGGATCAAAGCGTTAGATGTTGGTGGCGGCCACGTGGCCAAGGCGGAGGCCCTCCATGCCTTCTACACTGACCTTCTTGGCCGGGCCAGGGACCCCATCTGGCGCTTCGATCTGCAGGAGCTGTACGAGGGCGCCGCCACTATTGATGGCGCCAGGTTGGTCGCCCCCTTCGATATGGCGGAGCTCGAGGCTGATGTCAAGGGCCAGCACTCCCGGGCCCAATGGCCTGGGTCCGGCCTTCTACAAGGCCGCTGGTCCGCGGTGACATGCTGTGATTGATGGTGGGGTTCTACGACAACTCTGTGAACCTCTCCTGTATCAACTGCGCACATATTGTGTTGCTTCCCAAAGCCGAGGGGGTGCTCGCGCTTGGTGGTTTCCGCTCCACCTCGCTAGAGAGCTGTGATGTCAAGATCCCCTGCAAGGTTCTGACCATGCGTCTACAACAACAAATCGCCGATGTGGTGGACATTGACCAATCCGGGTTCACCAAGGGGCGAAGCATCTCCGAGAACTTTGTGTTCGTGACGGAGTTTGTGCAGACTCGTCGGGCCCCCTCTCTAGTCTGAAGCTGGATTTCGCCAAGGCCTTTGATTCCATCGACTGGCATAGCCACTACTAGGGAAAAGCCTACCAGTAGCGTGGGTATTTGGTGTATCAATAGCGTGGGTACTCGCGCTACTCGCGCTACTGATACGGCACTACAACTAACGTTTAACAGTAGCGCGTTTTGACACGCGCTACTCCTATACCTACTTAGCAGTAGCGCTTCCTATACCAACGCTACTACTAAGTGCTTTAGCAGTAGCGTTTTCCTGTCTAGCGCTAAAAAGCGCTACAACTAAATTTTCTCATATCTTTTTTTGCCGTGTATTTGCGATGTCTTTTTGTAAGTTTTACATAGTATTCTAATCATATCATAACCATGCAATATGATCATCATATCATACACATAATAGTCTCATCATATCATCCAACACAAATCATGTCGTCACATCATAATCACGATATAGCTATACAAGTTGCATGGCATGTCTCATCATACATAATGTAGTACTTCAGCATGTGGTGTAGGACATACAATCCATCACTAAGGGTATCACTCGGTTGCTGGATGCAGCAGAAGTCGGTCTTATGGCCGAAGGCGGGCCTGCGGTTCCTTGTCTTGATCTCTCCACCCCGTACACCATAGAAAAATATGGCACTGTCGAGAACAGGCTTGACGTGGGTGTAATACTTTTTGTTCATGTTCTTCGACGAGTCCAAATAAAGAGAATGGGAGAATCGTGGGTAAAGGATGATGGGGACGGTACGCCCGTGGCTGCGCAAAATAAGTACACCTCAAATTATCCTCCACCGTGCAAATGAATGATTGAAATCGAAGGAAGGATACCCGCGCGGATGACTTACATGGGATGATAAGGCACGAGAATCGTCTCCTTGTCCTTATTGGCGACCATGAAATCGGCGATGTAGTCCCTTGCATATTCACAGTGCTCTGGGCAGACTGCCAAGAAGCCCTCGTGCATGAAGTACGGGTCAGCGACATAGATATAAGGTATCTGCTCAATCCCGATGATGTAGTTCATGTATAAGGCAAAAAGGCGGACACACATAAAATTCAGCTTTTTCAAGTGAAACATCTCAAAGATGTAATCGAATCGAAGGAAGAAATTCTCCGCGGGGAATGTGTCGACGTACAACGTTTGCCGCGGCACGTTAACCACGTAGAGTGGGTATCCTGGATTTTACGAGGTGGTTAGGCTTTCCTCTCTCCGCAGCACATCGTCATGAAGTCTCCTTAGATCATCATATATGGCCTCTATCGCTGCCTTAGGTAGGATTGGTTCACCGGGTAAAAGTGCTAGTTATCGACTAGAGGGGGGGGGGGGTGAATAGGCGATTTTTATGAAAGTCTTCAAAACGTGAAAGTTTCGAAGACAAACAATAGAAATAACCTAATTGATATGCAGCGGAAGATAAACTACAACAAGCAAGCCATAGTCAAGTATGCAATAGCGTTATCGTACGAAGACTAATAGCAGCTAGGTAGTAGGATCAGGATGGAAGATAGTATGAAGCCAATCAACAATAGTAGTCAAGCAATGAAGTCAATCAGATAAGACATATAAGCAATGACTTCACGAATACAGACTCAAAGTAAAGGAGGGAAGAGATAGAACCAGTCACTTGTTGAAGACACATGATTTGTTGGACCAGTTCCAGTTGCTGTGACAACTGTACGTCTGGTTAGGGAGGCTGAGATTCAACTCAGAAGACCGTGTCTTCACCTTATTCCCCTTGAGCTAAGGACACCCAGTCCTCGCCCAATCACTCTGGTAAGTCTTCAAGGTAGACTTCCAAACCTTCACAGACTTCGTTCACCCAACAATCCACAATGACTCTTGGATGCTCAGAACGAGACGCCTAACCGGCTGGAGGATACACCGTCCTCAAGTGTAATAAGTCTTCAGGTCACACAGACAGAAAGACTTCAGTGATGCCTAACACTCTTTGGCTCTGGGTGTTTGGGCTTTGTCCTCGCAAGGATTTCTCTCTCTCAAATGCTTCGAGGTGGGTTGCTCTCAAACGACAAAAGTCGTATACTAACTCTGAGCAACCACCAATTTATGGTGTAGGGGGTAGGCTATTTATAGCCACTAGGCAACCCGACCTGATTTGTCCGAAATGACCCTGGGTCGCTAAGGAACTGACACGTGTTCCAACGGTCAGATTTCAAACACACACGACAACTTTACTTGGGCTACAAGCAAAGCTGACTCATCCAACTCTGGATAAGATTTGCTCTCATTGTCTTCGCTCGAAGACATAGGATTTGGGTTGAGCATCACTTCAGTCACTCTGACTTAGTTCACTTGGACCCCACTTAACAGTACGGTGGTTCCTATGACTCAACAAAGAAGAAAAGGAAACAACGAAACCACAAAGTCTTCGCGCTCCATAGTCTTCACGCAATGTCTTCTCATATCATAGTCTTCAATATGAGTATCTTCTCATACCACCATTGTCTTCAATGTATTCATACATTTTTAGGGGTCATCTCCGGTAGATAAACCGAATCAATGAGGGACACTACCTGCGTTATCCTGCAATTCTCACAAACGCATTAGTCCCTCAACCAACTTTGTCGTCAATACTCCAAAACCAACTAGGGGTGGCACTAGATGCACTTACAATCTCCCCCTTTTTGGTGATTGATGACAAACTGGTTGAAGTTTTCAACGGGGATAAAGTATGTGAAATTGTAAAGGATAGGAATTTGTCTTCATAAGTAGCAAGGGCTCCCCTTGAAGATGTGCATATAAATAATTTAGCTTTTGGAATGCAAATGCACATGGCAGGTTGTACTTGTGGAGATCCACTTCAACTTATGAAGATAATTCATCATGCATGAAATGATATAGCATATAGGATGACATGCATAATGAAAAATGGACGTCTGCAGGATGATTTAAGTGTGGAAGTTATCATCGCATGTGGAAACGCAAATAAGTAGCAGACGACCATCAAGTTTAAGTGTTACAACTCAAAGAACAAAGTGTATCAAATGCAAGAGTTGTAAACACTAGGCAAAAATATAACGCAACCGCCCATTTGAACCCGCTTGAAGACTATCAACTCATACGCTTCTCCCCCTTTTGTCAGTAATGACCAAAAAGGTTTGAAGACATAGAGCATCTACTCGTCTTCTTTATGAGTAGGTGAAGCAGCAGGGTTGTCATCGTTGGGTGGCGGTGCAGATGAACTTGGTGCAGTGTCGATGCACGCAGTAGTAGTAGGAGGTGGTGAAGTAGCATCATCTTCATCATCAATCACTCTGGCATTTACCGTTGCCGCGGAGGAAGAATATTCAGAGTCGTCAAGAGATGGAGTTCTTCGTAGGACAACATTCCGTGGAGGAGTGGAGTCAAACTGAAATCTTTCATTGAAGCCATCGTCTTGAAGATCTGCTTCAGCACTAAGCAGGGTCAAACTCTTCCATGATTGCCGGCAGGTTTCATGAGAAACAAAGGCATTCTTGGTGGCAAGGTTGCGAATGCGATTGACATCCACCAAGAGGCTTTGCATCTGTCTCTTGAGCCAAAAGTGATGTTTATCCTGTTTCTGATGAAGGGCCACAAGAAGTTCTCGGTCATTGAG